CACCACTTTGGTTGACTGTTCATCTTCCAGTGGGCCTGACTCGCTTGGCCTCTGTTTAACTTCAGCCTTTACTGTTTCATTTACGCTGTTTTCCTTCAGAAATGTAAATATTTATTTACGGTATTAGCATTGGCTCTTCTGAAGCTCTCTACATCACACAGTAAACACACTGAGCTATGGGCTCTGATGTCAATTTTTCCATAAACTGCTGGTGACCTCAGCCCCGTCATGCACTGGCCAGAGCACAGGGCGGCGTTAGAGAATTTAGATTCGTTTGTCTTGCCTCTGTTTGGCTTTTTACTTCCCCATCTGCATGGGGGCGTCTTTTAAAATTTGAGCTACTGTGTCCCTCTTAGCCACGTGGGACTGTTTTCATAACCATCTTGGTTTTTAGCCACTGTTTCTCTTCAGAGCATCTTTGGGGATTAGACCAACTTTCAGTATAATTTGCTCCTTAGCGGTAGTGTGCACAGACCGCATTTAACCAACGGGATAGCTTAGATTCAGCTTCATGAGTTGGGGATCAGCTGCAGAGCCTGACATTTCTGTTACTTCCTCCTGTCTTCTCCCACTGCCCCGCCCAGCTTCACCCTCTCTTCCTTCTTTTTCTTTCTGAAGCAGGTTCTCACGTAGCCCAGGTTGGGCAGCCTTGAACCCTCTCCATAGCCAAGGATGACCTTGAATTTTTGATCCTCCTGCTTTTCCTTCCCAAGTGCTGGGATTAAAGGTACGAACCATCAGGCTAGGCTTGGACTGCAGTATCTTAACGCCTGTTCCTCAAACACAAGGAGACACGGACACGAAGGCACCCTGACAGGGGCAGGCAGCCCTTCCTTGGAGGACAATAATTCTCAGCTCACTGAGGAGCCTGGGGTCTTTTAGAACAGACGTGGAAGGCAGGCGTGGAGATAAAAGTAAAGGGACATCACAGTGACCCGTGTCCGGCGAAGAGGCCCGTGCCCGCTGTCCCGGGTACTCAGAGGCTGAGAAGCCCAAGGCCAACCTGGACTACGCAGTGAGTTCCTCCTCAGCCTGAACTCTGACCCTGCCTCAAACAGTCAGGTGAGCTGGGGGCTGGGCAGCTGGGGGCACACTTCAGGGTGAGGGCCAGAGAGGCTTCCACCCCCGCCTTTGAAGATGCTCTGGGTCTCCAGGTTAGCAAGGAGGGGCAGTGCTGAGGAATGGGAGACAGCCGGAGGGCCCATTGCCCTTAGGAGGGGCTCCTGAGGAGGAGGGCAAGCCAGGCAGGACCAGAAGACCTCCAAAGACAAAGGGCCTCCAAGGACGTCTCCCCTGCCTCGGCCTGGAACACCGCACCCTCTTCTCTGACCTGCCTTCCCTGGGTGCTCCCTGTGTGGAGGTGGCTGTGTTCCGACCTCCTCGTATGTGACAGTCTCAAACAGTCAAGCAGCTGGCATGACTTCACGAGAAGCCCACGAGCAAGAGTCAAGCCCTTGTCCACCCGTGCTTCTTGCCCCCGCCCATGCTCTCACGTGGCCTCTTCCGTTCGGACAGTCCAGCCAGATGCCCACCTTGGCCCATTCGCACTCGGGTGGGGTTTCGTGACGATCGTTTGCATTCGGAATGTAGAGGCACCGAGTCAGTCATTAATGGACAAATCAGTCATTAACTAGGACCCCCGAGGGGAAGGGGACGTATCGCCCCTCATCTCTCTGGGCCCCCCGACTTCTACCCAGTTGGTTCTGATAACTGTTGGTGATAAGATCCACGAATGTCTGCATGGTGCCTGACCCCAGGAAAGAGCTTCGCTGGGGGGTTCTCTGCTACCCACACTGCTCTCTCCTTGCCCTACCCCCACCCGGAGAGCCCGCTCTGCTCCCTCCCCACAGCCCTCCGAGAGAAGGTAGATCGCAAAACTTTTACTATGTGTGTGTGTGTGTGTGTGTGTGTGCGCGTGTATGGGTGTGTGTGTGCTATGGCACAGCTGTGGAGGTCCGAGGAACGGTGTGGCAGTCAGCGCTCTCCTTCCACTCTAGGAGTCCTGGGGATTGAACTCACGCCCTCAGGCTTGGAAGCTGGCTCCTTGGCCCATTCCTCTGTTTTCCTGATATGAAGGTGACAGCCGTGTCATGACTATAATCAGGCATCTAGGGAGATCTTTATAGCAATGTTATTTAAAAACAAGCAAAAAAAAAATTTTTTTTCTCTTGACATTAAAATGCCCAAATATGCCGGGCAGTGGTGGTGCACATCTTTTAATCCCAGCACTCAGGAGGCAGAGGCAGGCGGATCTCTGTGAGTGTGAGGCCAGCCTGGTCTACAGAGTGAGTTCCAGGACAGCCAAGGCTACACAGAGGAACCCTATTTCAAAAAAAAAAAAAAAGACAAAAGATTTTTTTAATTTTAAAAAGATTTATGATTTGCCCTATGTGTGTATGTGTGTGTGTGTGTGTGTTCATGAAACCATGTGCATGCAAGGGCCCGTGGAGGCCAGGCGAGGGCGTCAGATATTTGGAGGCCGATATTTGGTGCCGTCTGTCCAGACCCCACATTTTCCTTTTGGAAGAGAGAACAGCAGAAGAGTCTAAACGCCCCCTCCCGTGACAGCAGAACAGTGTGAAGCCACCGTGCGGCTCCTGCCCACTGCACAGTTACCCGGAGGCAAACGCCAGGGGCCATGACGGGGAGGAAGGAGGCACGGCCCTGCTGTGTGGGGCACACCTCCATTTCCAGAGTCCACGAACTTTCTAGGGTAAACACGCTGGCCCTCTTCACAGCTTTCTGCTTCAAAACTCTTCGTGAAACTCACACTCCAGGCTAACAGGGAGGGGAGCCAGCAAGGCAGAGGTTCTTTGAGGAGACACAAGTCTGTCTTAGGAGGAAGGCTTTGCTGAGCCCTCGGCTAGGGACCGTGAGCTGGCCGGACCAGATCGTGTGTGTGTGTGTGTGTGTGTGTGTGTGTGTGTGTGTGTGTGTGTATGTGTGTATGTGTGTGTGTGTGTGTGTGTGTCTATGCATGCATGCGCAGGTTCCTCCTTTCCTTCCCATTTTTAGTTCATTTCTCTTTCTTTCTGAGACTCGCAGGGTCTGTTTTATCCCACGCTCCCTGGGACCTCATAGGAGACTTGTAATCCTCCTGCCTCCACCTCCCGGATATTGGGATTGCAGGCATGTGTCCTGCCATGCCTGACTTGAGCAGTGCTGATAGTCAAACTCAGGACTACCCACCACTCGACAGCCCTAACCGCCCTTTAAGAAAACCTATCTTGAAGTTTGGGGGAACTGAACCCGGGCCTTCAGGCACGGCCCGCACTTCATTACCGAGCTGCGTCCCTGCCCAGCCTTATTTTAAAATTTAAGTTGCTTAGTCTGCCGTTGAACGGCTGTCCACGAAGGCCTTGGCCAGTCCGTCTTCAGCTGAGTGGTAAGACTTCATGTCAGAGTAAGGAGAGGTGAGAGGGAGTGGGAGGAAGAGAGAAAGAGCCTTTCACGTTCTCGCCCCACGTGGGGGATCCGGGTACAGGCCAACATAGTCTATTTTTAAAGACTTATAGAAACTGGGTAGGTAGTCCACACCTTTAATCCCAGCAGAGGCAGGAAGAGCTGGGTCCGAAGCCAGCCTCCGAAGCCAGCCTCCTCCACAGAGTGAGTTCTGGGAGAGCTGGGGCTACAAAGAGAAATCTTGTCTCGAACAACAAGAGACATAGAAATCTTAGACATATGGGGGCTTTGCCTGCACCACGTGCACACAGTGCTCCAGGAGGTCAGAAGAGGGCGCCCGAGCCCCTGGAATTGGAGTTACAAACGGGACTTGAACCCTTGTCCTCTGGGAGAGAGCCAGCGCTCCTGAGGGCTGAGCCTGAGTTCCCAGGCCCCACCCTCAGTACTTTTTAAGACCCTGAGGTTAGGGGCCCGAGCTCAGCGCTGCTGGAGCCCTTGCTGGCGGCTCACACCGGTGACCCCAGCACTCAGGCCGGCAGGAGGAGGGCCAGAAGTTCGAGGCCACCTCCCCTCGGCAGGCCGAGAACCACGAGGGATAAAGGACCACAGGGGAGCGCTGGGCTCGCTCTGAGCGTCCCAGAGGGTCCAGATGCTCCCCCGTGCTGGACCCGAGGGCCGCGCACGTGCCGCGTTGCCAGGACACCAAAGCGGTTTGTTTCCCAATCGAGGGCGCTCCCACTCCTGCCCTGGCCTCGGGGTGCGTGACGGCCCGACGTGGGGCTCAGTGGCTCTGCCCAGCTACCCGTCCCCGCCGCCGGCGCCCCCGCCCCTGCCTTCCTAGGTGGTTGAGCCCGTTGCCCACTCGCCCCGTGCCACAGAGCCAAGCTAGAGCGGGCGGGCCCGCGGGAGGAGGTGGTGAACCGAGGGGAGACGGGACATGGAGGGAGAAGGGATGGGAAAGGAAGGTGAGAGGAGGAGGAGGAGGACGGTGGGAGGGAGGGGAGGAGAGAGGGAGGGAAGGAAAGGGGAGAGGGGAGATGGGACCAGGAGGAGGGAAGGGGAGAGAAAGAGAGGAGAGGGAACAAGGAGGAGAGGGGGAGGAGAAAGGGGAGGGAGGGAAGGGGAAGGGACGGGGAGGAAGAAAGGGGAGGGAGGGAGGGGAAGGGATGAGAGAGGGGAAGGGAAGATAGGAGGAAAAAGGGATAAAGGGAAGGGCAGGGGAGGGAAGAGGGGACGGGAAGGGAAAAGGGAAATGAAGAAAGGGGGAGGGGAGGGGGAAGTGGGGGAGGAAGGGGAAGATGAGAGGAAAAAAGGGATGGAGGGGAAGAAGGGGAGATGGAGAAAGGGGGAAGGGAGAGGGTAAGAGGAGGTGAGGGGGTGAAAAGGTGAAGGGGGAGAAGAGGAGGTGAGGAAGCGGGGAGAAGGGAGAGGCAAGGGGAGCGGTGAGGACGGAGGGGGGGAAGGGTGAGGGCGCGCGGGGGCGGGGTCCACCGCGGCCGGGGCCGCTCGGGGATGGCGGCCTCTGAAGCCTCCGTTTCCCCGCTGCAGCAGCCGTGGTCCCTGAGGAGCGTCTGGCCCACCCAGACACCACCACCAAGATGCCAGACGCGAAGGAGAGGGCGGCCCGGAAGGAGGGCGGCGAGGCGGAGGGCGCCTCCCGCACGGGACACACCCGCGAGGACCCGAGCAGCGGCCAGAGCCACCGATCGCGTAGGTTCAACTGTCGCCTGACCTCGGCCGCCAGAGTCCACGGAGACACGGGCTGCACCCAGCCGCCCCCGGGTCCCCGTTAGCCCTGAGCGCGGACGCGCGCGCTCGGCCGGCGGAGCGCCCCGGCGCCCCGAGCCCTGCGCCCCGGCGCATGCCCTCCTCGGTCCCGCACGGGGCGCCGTTTCCGGCCGCCTCCCCGGACCCTGAGCTCGCACGGGCTGCGTGTGTGCCCGAGGCCGGGTTCCCCCGAGCGGGGCCCGCCACCCTGGGCTCGGATGCTCCCGCGCTGCCCTGGGCTTCCCGGGACGCTCTCCAGCCAGTCTCTCCCGTGGCCACGCGGGGGCGCTGCTGGTTAACAAAATGACTGGAAACGAGCCGCAGGTGTCTGGGGTTTGGTCATCTAACTGGGAGGGGTGTCCCTAAGGGTCGGGGCTGGCTGCTGCGGCTGCTGCTGCGCCTCCAGAAACAGCCCTCACGGTGGTAGTTTAAGATCACAGGTAAAATAACCGAGTGCACGACCAAATCCCTTTTGAAATCTTCTGTTAGTTGGCTTTGTTGTCTTGCGGTTTTCTTTGCTCGCCCCCACCCCCAAGCTGGATTTTTAAGAATTCTGTTTTTCTCTGTCTACCCTCTGAGCCTTCCTGGTCCCTGGCTGTCAGGTGTGCTTCCGGTGGTCTCTGGCTGTTTGGTTTCAGGGCGCCCTCGAGCTCAGCGCCGCCTTGAAGTGGCTTTTACCTTACCTCGCTCATTTAGTTGTAATGAGTTAAGTCCGTCCACGTGTTTGATGGTTTCGTGCCCGCCATTTCGCCATTTGCAGAAGGGCTGCAAAACTGAAGAGAACAGCGTCGGTTCACCTCGCTTTTATAAAAAGAATTTTAAACGCGAGCGGGTGTTTTGCACACCGGGTTTGCTGAGGGCCGGAAGAGGGACTGGAGTTAGAGAGGCTGGTGAGCCACCATGTGGGTGCCAGGCATGGGACCGTTAGTTCTTGGCAAAGGGCAGCGAGTGGCTGAACCGCTGGGCCGTCCCTCCTAGTTTTACCTTTTGATAACCCAGGCAAGGCCTCTGGCTTTCCTGTGATGCCCACAGTCACCCTTTGTACCCTGGAAATATTTCGGATTTGTTGAAAGGGAAAATCGGAGACTGGCTGCGCCGTTAATCTGTGCTTTCTCTGTGTGCTTCCTAATTGTCTGAAGGCTACAGTTGTGACTTTAAAAACTCCGTCATGTTTCCTTCTAAGAGAGAGGGCTCTCCTATGTGCTGTCCTCCAGGCATCTGTAAATCTTTCTGCTATAGGAAACTTCTACCTTTCCAGGCCTGTGGGACAGCTCGGCACTACCCTCTCCACCCCCCATGTAAAGGTGGGAGCGGACCCCACCAAACTGCCCTCCGGCCGCCACACGCACGTGGCCTGCAGGATTAGTAATTTTAAAAGACACACTTACAAGATGGCCAGCCTTCTGCGTCCCCCACCGCTCCCTGGCTTCACTTTCACAGGCCTAGGTTTGGGCGGTCTTAGAGGAAAACTTTTTCTTGTCCACGCTTGGCAACACAAAGGCCCCGCAACTTGGGATCTTTAATCTTAAATGTTCCTTGGAAATTTTACCAGTCTATGAAACCCTAAAATCTGGGAGCTACTTAGAAAACCAAATAACTTTGTTTATTTCCACATGAATGCCCGTGTCTTACCTGCAGGGGGAACCCCCGCCCTTTTGTGGGGGCCCCAGACTGCTCAGTTAATTATTATTATTATTATTATTGAGAAGCCACAAGTTGTTGCTTCATAGCTTTGTGATTTTTTTCCCCCTAAGACAACTTTATCTTTCAGCCATCATTTCACACTTTCCTGAGCTAACTTGAGCCTTCCCCGTGTTGGACTCCTGCGAGCATTTCCTGTCTGCCCGTGGCTGGCATGGGGGAGCGGACTGTGGGAGTCAGCCTTGTGTGGGTTGGCTGCGGCCCACCAGAGGTTCTTCCGTTGACAGGTCTGATGGAAAGGGGGCATGACGTTTCCAAGCTTGAGGGCTACTCAGAAGAGAAGATGTCATCCTCCTGCAGGTATGGCTTTAATGCCTACTCTGTTTGTTCTATGCCTGCTCTGTCTGGCTTCCGAACGCCGTTATTTAGCACCGAGGGGTGCTATGAGAGATGACTCAGCATGCAAAGACGCCAGCTGCCAGGCCTGGCAATCCGAATTTCAGCCCTCAGACCCACCTGTGCCCCTCCCCAGGAAACAGGTGTTCTTAAAAGTGCACTCAGCTGTGTGTGATGGCATGCACCTGTGGTCCCAGCCCTTGGGAGGCAGAGGCGGGTGGATCTGTGAGCTGGAGCCCAGCCTGGTCTGCACAGTGAGTAGAGGGTCAGTCTGGGAGGCCGCGTCTTGAGCAAAGAAAACCCAGCCCAAATGTGTGTCTCCTTGGCAAAGTGTGTGGAATATAATGGTTCCTATTTTGGTTATTAATATCTTTGAGGCTAGTAACACTGACTTAAATTTCACAGTGGAAATGCGGGATGCCTTTTGGCCACCTTACTGTTTTAGGTTCACTTCTCTCCGTGTGGCTACATAGTTGTTCTCCCAGCATTTGTTGAAAAGATTCTCCTTTCTACATTGAATCTCCTTGTTTTGTTTTGTTTGCTTGTTTTTTGAGACAGGATTTCTCTGTTGTAATCTTGGCTGTCCTGGTCTTGCTCTGTAGACCAGGCTAGCCTCTAATAGTGATCTACCTGCCTCTGCCTTCCTGAGTTCTGGAATTGAAGCGGGTGTACCACCATGCCTGGCTTTTTAACTTTTTAAGGCCTAACGAGGAATGATAACTAAACATAACCCTGCCTGAAGAATGCTAACACTCAGGATAAAAATATGTGAGGAAGAGGGGGTGCGGGAAGTAACTTTCTTGAAATAGTTGTGTGTGTGTGTGTGTGTGCGCGCGCGCGCGCGGAACCTGCTGTGTAGACCAGGTTGGCCTCAAACTCACAGAGATCCTCCTGCCCCTGCCTCCTGAGGGCTGGGATGCCATCACACTTAGCTGAGCCCATTTATTTTAAGGCTGACTGGTTTGGAGGTGTCTGCTACATTCAAGTGTTGTCAAAAAAAAAAGGTTTTCCTGGATTTTGTGAGTGAAAGAAAATAATGACTAAGCCACTGGCTCAGTGGATCAGCGTGTGCACACAGCCAGCAGGTCACGCCTGTGAGGAGAGACTCCCTGCCACTCAGGCTTGCTTCTGTTCCCGAGGGTGCCTTGACGTGCCAGAGCCTCGCCGAGTCAGCCCCTGTGGTGGTTTCTCTGGGCCTTAGACTCTGGGCCCGGAATGGTTCCTCATGCAGTGAGTTCTCTGCCTTTGGCCCTGTCGCAGCGTGGAAACCAAGGGCAAGGATGCGATGCCCTGCGACTTCTGGGAGCATCTGAAAGAGCAACTGTCAGCCGTGCCCCCCGACTTCAGCTGTTCTCTTGACCTTCTGAAGGAGATCAAGGAGGTAAGCCGCCTCCACCTGGAGGAGGGAGGCTTGGGAGGCAGAGGAAGCCACATCTGTGATTTGGTGGCGGCAGGTCTAGGCTGCGTTTCAGGACACACATCAAAACCCTGTCTTGAAAAGCCACAAAAATATAAATAACTAAGAGAATTTTAGTTTACGAGCGAGGGGTTTTGCCTGTGTGTCTGTCTGGGCACCATGTGCAGGCCATGTCCGGACAGGCCAGAAGAGGCTGGTGTGAGCACTTGGCTGCTGAGCCTTGTCCCCAGCTCTCCCGTGTGCTTGGCGGAGTCCCGGGCTCCATTAATCTCTTTATCTCACGCTGACCCGTTTGTCACCCACCGCCAAGCAAGGACAATACTCGCAGGCCCCCTGGGTCCTAAACAGAGACTGGGCTGTGTGTAAGGGATTGGGGAAAAGGCGGGGTCAGGCACATAGACGCCTCTTCTGCCTCACCGCAGATCCTGCTGTCCCTGCTGCTACCGCGCCAGAACCGCCTCAGGAGTGAGATCGAAGAAGCGCTGGACATGGACTACCTGCAGCAGCAGGCGGACCACGGCGACCTGAACGTCTCCTACCTCTCCAAGTACATTCTCAACATGATGGTGCTGCTCTGCGCGCCCGTCCGCGACGAGGCCGTGCAGAAACTCGAGACCATCGCAGACCCCGTCCGGCTGCTGAGGTGTGGCTGGGGGACAGTCCCCTAGCCTGCCCCGGGCTCTGAGCTGGGACGGGAGGCCTTTGTCCTGAGTCTTCCTGCTCCTCTCTGGCCTGTGGGTTTTCACTTTTCCAAAAAGGACCTTTGGGTCATCCCTAGGCTGATGGGACCATCTGTATAAGACACTACGGTAGACAGAATTCTAAGATCCCCAACCTTTCTCTGGTTTCGGTTCTCACACTAGGGGACAGCGGCAGGTCTCCTGTCTTACGACTGTGTGGAGTTTAGGAAGCACATTCAGCAAGTTAAAACACACACACACACACACACACCCCTACCTCTTCACCAGAATGGAGAGTAGCATCGCTTAGAACCCTGCTTCTGCTCACGGGCTGCTCTTGCCCTGTAGCCCTTGTGGGGCCTGAACTCTCAGCCCTTCTCTCTCGCCCTCCCAGTGGTGGGCCTTTCCTTGTGCAAAATGCCCCACCCGGCTGTCAGCAGAAAGGGCATGGTGGGAGGGACTCGGCCCTTTCCGGGGGGCCTGGGTCTTGCCTGCAAGTCCTTCTGCGCGTGGGAGACGGGACCAGGAGGGTCCACGTGTCCGGGAGCCGGTGCCTCAGCCTCCTCCTGGGGTGGTTCTCTCCTGCGTTAGGGGGATCTTCCAAGTCCTGGGCCTCATGAAGATGGACATGGTGAACTACACTATCCAGAGCCTCCAGCCCCAGCTGCAGGAGCACTCCATCCAGTTTGAGCGGGCCCAGTTCCAGGAGCAGCTCAACAAAGAGCCTAGTACGTACAGGCTGATGGAGGCGGCCCCGTGCCCCCCACGGAGGGCCCCTGCCTCTCCAGGAAGAAGGTGGCTTCTTTACCTCGGGGGCGGGGAGGGGAGGAGGCAAACCCACCAACCAGGAACAGACACTTGTTAACGTTTGAACTGAGTGATTCAGTTTAGTTTTCTGAGATGGAGTCTCACTCTTTAGCCTCGGCTATTCTGAAACTCACTGTGTAGTTCAGGCTAGCCCCGAACTCCAGCCTCGGCTCCACCGCGCTCACCAGGAGCCGTGCTGGCCCCGGGAGTGAGCTGCTTCCGCCCCTCCCGCCGCAGCCCTCCTGGATCACACCACTAAGTGGCTGAGCCAGGCAGCTGCCGAGCTCACCAGTCCTCCGCTCAGCTGCCCCGAGGACTCCTCCAACTCGTCGCCCGCAGAAATGGCTGCCCCGGAGCCCCTCAGCCCGGCGATGGTGCTGTCCCAGGGCTTCCTGAACCTCCTCTTCTGGGACCCTGAGGATGAAGAGTTCCCTGAGGTAGGGGTGGGGCGGGGGACATGTCCTTGTTTGTGGTCCTGGTCTTCTGCCAGCCATGCCCTGACGACCCCCCCACCCCCACCCCGCGTCTTCAGACCCTGCAGATGGACAGAACGCGGCTGCAGGAGCTCGAGTCGCAGCGTCAGCAGCTAACCATCCTGGCCTCCGTCTTGCTGGTGGCCAGTAGCTTCTCTGGCAGTGTTCTGTTTGGCTCACCCCAGTTTGTGGATAAACTGAAACGAATAACTAAGACCCTGTTGGAAGACTTCAACTCCAGGTGAGCTGCGGAGTCTCTGCTACAGGATTAGAAGGAAGGAAGAGGAGGGGGCTGTCCTAGCTGCTAAGGCTCGGTGCTTTGCCGAGCAACCCTGAGGACCTGGCTGTATCCCCAACACGCCTGGAAAAAGCCCGGCGGGAGCTGGCTCTGGTAGCACGCTTTAACCCAGCACTCAGGAGGCGGAAACCTACAGACTGCTGTGGGTTCGAGGCCAGCTAGGGCTGGAAGAAACTCCGCATCTCCAGATGGACAGTTCCAAGCCAGACATGGGGGTGCGTGTGCTGGTCTGTGGCTGCGGCACTTACTGGGGTGCTGGGCTAGCTAGCCTGGTCAGCTGGCGAGTTCCAGGTTCAGTGAGAAGGGAGGCAGAGAGCCGCTGAGGAAGAGTGCTATGCGCGTGTGTGGGCACCCGCAGAGCAGATAGTGCAAAGCAGCGGGGATACTGGCAGGTCGTGGATTTCTGGTTCAACACAAGGCCCAGTGAGAGGGCCTCTAGGCCTGTCCACAGGGCCAGTTTATTTCTGTGGTGATACGGGGCTTACGACCCAAAGGGAAAAACGAACTTTCTAGAAAGGTGTTGTGTGAGCATTTGAGCTGCCAGGGCTGCTGGGTGGGTGGTGGCGCTCAGTGCTGAGCTGTACCTGATGTCGACAGAGGACACAGAAGCAGCACATTTGGGTGTGTGTGCCTGTGCGAGTGCCTGTGTGTGTGTGTGTGTGTATGTGTGTGTGTGTGTGGCTCGGGTGGGACTGGAGGGTTCCCCACAACCTTGACCTCTTGCCTGAGGCTTCCTGGCTTCTGCAGAGGCTACCTACTGGATGCCAGCTGACTTCTGTTGTCCTACTGGGTGCCAGCTTAACCTCTGTTGTGGTCTAGGCCCGAGGAGGTGATGGAGACTGTGAGTGATCAGGTGACCCAGGAAATCCACCAGAGTCTCAAGAATATGGGCCTCACTGATCTGAGCAGCGACAACACAGAGTCTCTGATCGGGCAGCTCCAGAACATTGCCAACAAGGAAAACTGTGTTCGCACCGTCATTGGTGAGCGTGCCCACACCTGGGTGGTGGCGATGCTGGAGGGAGGGGCCCAGCCACGGACACCAGTGAGTTTCGGGTTGAAACTACATCCTTTTCCTGTCAAAGACGGACTGTGGTCCTGAGGGAGGCCGCACACAGTTACCTGGTCAGGTGACTCAGTACTGAGGAGTGTCTGTGTGTGGCATCCACACCCGCCCCTCAGTAGGAAGCGGCCGGGGGAGTTCAGATAGCAGCACAGACCCCATGTTGGAACATGGCCAACTTGTTCCCTGCTTTAAGCCACTGAAGAATCAGTTGAAGAGTTCCTTAACGTCAAATCCTAGGTCTAGCACTGTAGCCCAGGTTGGCCTGGAACACCACATGTACCTCAGGCTGGCCGTACTCGAAGTGCTCCCCCTGCCTCTGCCTCTTGGGTGCCGGGATTACAGGCATGAGCCACAGCCTGATACGAAACAGTCTTGGGTACTTAGAGGTGCAGTAAACCCAGTACTTGTGAGAACTAGACAGCTGTCTCCCGAAGGACTCGGGGGTCCCCTTGCCTGTGGGAGAACAACCCAGGCAGGACCCAGCCGCCCTGTCCACCGACTCATCCTCTCCTTCTCTTCCTGCTCAGATCAGCGGATCCACTTGTTCCTCAAGTGCTGCTTGCTTCTCGGCATGCAGCGATCCCTCTTGGACCTTCCTGCAGGCCTCACCCCCATCGAGGCAGAGCTGGCTGAGCTGGGCCAGAAGTTCGTCAGCCTGACAAGCCACAATCAGCAGGTGTTTGGCCCTTACTACAACGACATCTTAAAAACCCTCGTCTCCCCAGCCCAGACTCTGACGAGAGTGGGCTCTCTCTGACGGCGAATCAGCTCAGAGCCTTCCTAAAGTCATGGCACCCGTGAGCCCCAGAGCAGTGAGTTCCCTCTGGCCCCTGCAGCCAGCACAGAGGGGCTGCGCGGATCAAGTGTGTCAACACCAACTGGCCCAAACCCGCTCCCTAATAAAACTGCAGAACTGCAAGCGGCCGGCCATTCTTCCCTCAGGCGGCCGACGCCTCCACCCCAGTGTGCACAGAGGATGGCCAAGACCCTGCTCTCCCTGCCTCAGGTTGTCTAGAGTTGGGGTGGGGACATTTAGGTCTGCCATGCATGGGCCCATCCCCCGTCCAGTCAGTTCTTCTGCGGCCTCATCACTACGCATAGACTATCTGCTCTGCTCTTCGTGTCTTCTCTCTCTCTGGCAGCTGGGGGCGGTTGTGTCCCTCGAGTGACCGACACGTAGTGGAGAGCCTGGGCTCACACGCATTGCTTGTCACAACCGGTTTGGTGAGGATGGTGTCCCGGTCAGATCTGGTCCTTCTGCAGACAGTGACTTGTGTGTCTTCGAGGCAACAAGGAGAACAGCGGCCCCTTCCCAGGGGCTGGAAGGAGCTGAGGGTGACACAATTTGGGGACCACGTGAGGTGCTCTTTGATTTTCGTTGGCCCGGGGCGTATTCCTAACCGACAGCCTCGTTAGCTTGTGACAGTAGGGTCAACAAAGGGTCTGGGCACAGGTCACTCACAGTCCTCAATCTTGTCACTGTATAGCCTCAGCTGGGGAAATGACACCCCCAGACAGACAGGCTGCTGTGGCCCCCAGCTGCACTTCCTCCTCTCAGTTTCCAGAAGTGCACATCTGGGAAGCCTCACTGCTGGGAGAGCCGAGGGACACCTGGTATAGACGCTGGGCTGACGGGACAGCTTCGCCGCATTTCGCAATTGCAGTCTGGCGTAACCCACAACAGTGGAATTTCTGAAATATGTCTCTCTCGTCCTTCCACATGGAGGAAACGGGAACCCTGTCTTTACAGGGCGAAAGCACTGGCTGCTCTTGCAAAGCCACACGGTGGCTCACAACCGTCTGTGAGGTGACCTGCTGCCCCCTCCTGGTGTGCAGGCGCACAAGCAGCCAGAACAATGTACAAGTGATAAATAATCTACAAACAATAACAAGAAAAACAAAACCCCAAACATCAGGAACCGGCCATCCCTGGTCCTCCCTTTAAACCAGGCCACTGCTCCTCAGCCTCTGTCCCTGGGATTTCTATTCTAGATCAACATCTTTTAAAGATTGTATGTGTGTGGGTGATGGATGTGTACCAAGCTCATGCAGTGCCCACAGAGGCCAGAGGAGGGTGATGGCTCTCCAGAAGTGGAGTTGGCGGTGGTTGTGGGTGCTGGGAACTGAGCTCAGGTCCTCCGCAAGAGCACTAAATGATCCTAATCACCGAGCCACTGCTCCAGACCTTCTATACTTTATATAAATGATGTTTATATAGAGAAACAAAGCAGCGAGGGGGTTTATAAAAAGATTTATTATGTATACACTTTTCTGTCTGCATGTGCGCCTGCACACCAGCAGAGGGCACTAGACCTCACTATAGATGGTTGTGAGCCACCGTGTGGTTGCTGAGAACTGAACTCAGGACCTTTGGAAGAACAGCCAGTGCTCTTAACCACTGAGCTATCTCTCCAGCCCTGTATGTAGTGTTTTGATTGGCTTCTTTCACAAGATGTTTTTTTTGTTGCTTGTTTTTTTTTTTGTGTTTGGTTTGGTTTTGGGTTTTTGTTTTTTTGTTGTTTCAGTTTTTCAAGGCAGGATTTCTCTACCTAACAACGCTTGACAGGCCTGGACTGACTGTAGACCAGGCTGGCCTGGGACTCTGAGAGATCCCCGCCTGCTGAGGCTGGGGCGAAGGTGCGCCGCCGCCACCCGTGGCCTTTCATTTCATTTCTGGCCGGTGGGGCATTTCTTGACTTGTGACTGGTGCGGTTTGCCCAGCTTTGGTTCGCTGGTCTGCGCACCTGTTCGAGAATCGTGCGTCGTAAGTGCGGGGAGTGGGGGAGTTCTTCCTTAGAGGGCTGCGGGCGCTTAAGCCCGTTTATTTCTGATACTGTGATTACGAGGACTTGAATAATGTTCTCCAAAGGGCCGTGGTGAACGGCTTGGTGCCCACTTGTTATACCAGTGAGAGGCCTTAAGTCGTTTCGGCATGCCCTTGGGGGGCTTGGCTATGCACCTGGCTCGCTCCACCCCACTGTGAGAGGACTGGGGCTGTTGGCAGGGAGCTGCCTGCAGCACTGCGGACCCTCTCCTCAGCCGTGCCACAGGTTGTGATCATTTGATTGAACCTTCTCGAAGACCGCCGTGGTGTGTGCCCTTGACTCTAGGATTTCCAGTGTTGGTTTCACTGCCCTTGCCGACTGCTCCCTCACGGCTTGCTTTGGGCGTATCTGTGCTGGAAGACTGACCCCTCCTGGCCTGTTGTGTGGTTAGCGCTACAACCCTCTCTCTCCGGCAGCCGTCTGCACCCTCTCCGGAGACTCCCCTTTCTCTGCTCTGGCACTTCCCCGTCTGCCCTGCCATCCCGCTCTTGATGCCTGTGGCCGAACACATTCTGTGCAGCTTTCAATCTGAGCGTGTAGAGGCTTGCTTTGTGGCCCCGGGTCCGCTCTCGGAGTGTGCTTCACGGGCACTCGAGACGATGCATGCTGCTCTCGTGGACTGGAGTGTTGGCTCATGTCGGAGTAGCCGGTAGCTGGCAGTCTCCAAGTCTGCCAGTCTCAAAGTCTGCGGTGCCCTGCCTGTGTCCTGCCGACCTGGATCAGGCTGATAAAGGCATGTGGAATTCTATAGTGTAGAGTTGTCCTTCAAATTTTTGTTTTATTATTATTATTATTATTTTGAGACAGGGTTTCTCCGTGTAGCCCTGGCTGTCCTGGAACTCTCTCTGTAGACCAGGCTGGCCTCACACTCACAGAGCTCTGCCAGTCTCTACCTCCCAAGCGCTGGGGTTAAAAGCGTTACTGCCTTGTCTGGCTCGTCACCCTGTAGTTTTTATAGGAGATTCCAGGGATCCCTTGCAGACAACAAAATCCATGTTTGCACAAGTCCATACATGAAATGGACGGCATAGAGCCTACACGTGTCCTTCATGCCGTTAGAACAGTTGTTGGATTATGTACAGTGGCCTACCACGACATTTATGCCGTGGTAAATGGCTGTACTGCTTTGCTCAGGGAGTGACAAAAGTCTGTTTAGCGTAACTGAAGAAGTAAGGGAGGAGGAGAGGGCTCAGCCACAGGGAAGGTGGAGAGACTGCCTCCCTCCCCAGTCAGGTTTCATTCCAGCCTGTCAGTCAGGCTGGGTGGCCCACACACCCTTAACACCGCCACCATCTTCATGTCCTGACCTTTTCTCTTGATTTGGTCTCAAGTCTGCTTCAGCAGCTCTTTCCTTCCATGTTTTACCTTTAGTGTGTGCGTGCACGTTTGTGTGCACGTGGTTTCCCGTGAAGGTGGAAGGGCCACCTGCAGCAGCTGTCTGTCCTCCCAGCATTTGGGTTGCAGGGATTGAACTCAGTTGTCAGCCTTGGCAAGAGTTCCCATCCTCCATCTTAGCCAGCTCTCCCTGAGTCTTTTAACTCTGAGCGTGCCTCAAATGTCACTTGACATGAGTCCCTTGGGGACATACGGTTGCTCTATGCACTCATCTGGGGTACAGGAAAGCAAACCCCGGCCTTGTGCGAGCAGAGCAAGCGCCCTCCATCTAGCCGCACTCCCTGCCTGGGGTCACATCATCTCGGCAAAGACTTCTTCCTGTGAGTGTTGGCCTGCCTGTAACTGCCCTGTGGACACAGTACCGCCGCGTCCAGAGGGAGTGCTGGATCCCCGGAGCTGGAACAGACGGGAGGCTGTGAGCTGCCGAGGGGGTGCCGGGAACTGAACCTGGGTCTGTGCAACAGCAGCCAGCGCTCTTGACCACTGAGCCACCCCTTCAGGCCCTCTGGTCGGATTTTACAATCTACTCTGCCGATCTTGTATTCCCCCTCTTACTCACTTTCTCTGGTGTTTCAAAACACTGTCAGTACGCTGTATCTTTACTCGCCTAGGCTGGTCTCAGACTGGGTATGTAGTTGGCGATGACTTTAGACTTTAAACCGGGCAATCTCCTGCTTCTGCGTCCCTAGTGCTGGGATTACACAGGTGTTTACACCTGGCTCAAGACTCACCTAACTGACAATTGAAAACACTGACATTTAATATGATGGTTCGATGTGAATTGTTTTCCAACAGGCTCTTGTGTTAGGTCTGATCAAGTCATCCAGATTGGACCCCGAGAAATTAGTAATTTGAGGCTTTAATGGGAGGGACTGGAAATGTCTACGTAGGTGAGGCCCGTGGCTGTAGGAGGCAGACAACGGGACCACGCCTTGTTCTGGGCCCGGTCCTCTGTCCTCTTTTGCTCCTGGCTGCTGTGAGACAAGCAACCCTGCCGTTTGGCATGCTTTCACCTGGAGCAGCGGCACCGGCAGCCAGGGTAGCGGGATTTCTTAGGAAGCTGTAAGCCCAAATCCTCCTCAGGTATTCTGTCGTGACAGCAGCTGCCTGGTCAACAAAGTGGCTGCAGACGCGCAGGTCTGCTGTTTTCTGGTTAGCTTTTCTAATTTTTCTGCCTCTGGAGTTAGCTGGGGTCTCGATGTTGCCCAGGCTAACCTTGAATTTGTGATGCTCCCGGCACTTGGTAAACCGCGTTTTCTGGACTGTGTTCTCTTGGCTAGCTTTCTTTTCAGTGGTCTAGAGTTTGTGTATAACCTGCCACAGTCCTCGCCTACCAGCTCAAGTAACAGGAACCTTATCTCGTCCCTTTGTCACCGTGGCGGCTGCGTCCTCATCCAGGCAGAGCCAAAGCCCCGCGTTAAAGCCTGCTTCTGTTTCTGTGTCTGACCTTCCCGCTGTGCCAAGGTTTCTGTTTGGCTAATTTCCCTCCAGCTTTGTAGGGTCAATTTCTGGTGACAGTTTCTTCATTCTCTTTCACCTCCAAATGCCCGGATTCTTGTTCATTCTTGAAGATTATTGAGTTTTCCCTGAGGTAGGATTCTGGTTTGTCAGCTCCCTCTCTCCCTCCCACTGGTGGACTTTTTTTTGAAGTAGGGTCTTATTCTAGTCCAGAAGTGTTCTCGATCTCATGATATAACCCTCAAATCATGGCGCTCCTGCCTCAGCTTCCTAAGTTGTGGGGTTCCAAGACATGTGCCACCACGTCCAGCTGTAGGGGCTGAAGACAAGTCTCATGTCACTCAAGTTGTTTCTCCCGTGTTGGCAAGGTCTCTGCCCTCCCCCTCCCCTCCCCTCCCGGCCTCGAGAAAGATCTTCAGGGCTTATGCTGCACTGGTATCTTGGAAAGGGCTTCCAAGGTAGGGGTGGTGTCACTTTTCAAAATTGTGGTTCAGGCATTTGTTTTAGTAGTCACCTTCCTTTCTGAAACAGTCCCCCTGGCTGGCCTACAGCCGCTCTGCACTGCTGCTGCCTGCCCTTGGCTCCTGACAGCTGACTATAGGCATGTGCCCCACCACAGGGCTGGCTGGACTCTGCTCTTCCGGTGCGAGCCGTCACTGTTGGCCACTACTCTGCCAGAGAAGGTGGCATGGCATCCTCACAGCCACGCTGGGCAGAAATCCAGGCTCCCCCCTTGGCTGACCTGAGGTGTGTGGCTGCAAGGGGAGAGCCCGGCTTCCCCGTGGCACTTGGCTCAAGTAGAGCGAGGATGAGGACCGTCTTGCCGGTCGAGGCTGGCTCTTCCCTGGTGCTGATCTAGCACGTAGCTAGGCTCTGTGTGCGTTAACTGGGGTTCCTAACTGTTAATCTGTGCCGGGGTTAGGGTGTCCTAGAAAGGGAAACATGTTCCTGGCTACTGGTGACAGCTATTCCCAGGTCACCCTCTGTTGCATGCTGAACAAACATTAATTCCAGTTGTTTGTTTTTATGAATGGCTTCACTCTGCTGCGCAGAGATGTCTGGTTATACACAGCTGAGCATGAGGCCATGTGTCTGGAGTCTGCAGCGCTCTCGGAAGGGCCGCTCTAGCAAGACCCTGCCGCAGAGGCTTTGGGCAACCCAAGGCAACTGCATGGAGCTGTGCTCTCGGCTCTGGACCCCACGCTCTGTTATGGACGTGATCAGGGGCCCTGTGTGGGTGAGGCCCGTGCAAGGTGTGAGGAGCCGCTGATGGGCGGCCACGCATGTTCAGGCACGTCCCCAGGAACCTGCTGCAAACAGGGTTGACTGTCTGGCCTTGGCGTCTCCCTGCTGAAGAATGCTGGCCAGGAGGTTCCCAAACCGCCACGCAGGCCGAGCAGAGGACACGTGCCCCTGACTTCAGCGACACTGAGCTGTGTCCACACTTAACACCAGAGAAGCAGCTTTCCGAGTGAGACACTGCAGAGCTACGGCTGGTCTCCACCGCTCTCCTTTATTAGCTTAGTCTGTCCTAGGCTGCACACGAAGCTGGGCGCCGGATGCCCGCTCTGCAGAGGTCCGCCTGCGCTGCTGCGCAGCTTGTCACGTTTGGTGCCACAAGGTGTTTATAATTCAAACAAAATCAGACAGATTAACAATTTTATGTACAGTAAAACAAAAGGGGAAGTCATTCAAGTATCAAAATATGGAAACAAAGATTAAATAACATTTTTCTTAGAATCCAGTCCCACTGTCCGCCGTGACCTGCAGTGCAGGTCTGGCCGCCTCACAAGCTGTGAAACGTCTTGATTGCTCGAGTTGTGAGTACTCAAGCCCGAGGCTTCACAAGAACTCCCCGACAGCAACCTCCGAGGCAGAGGCCGAAGGACCCTGCTGGGACATAGGCCTGCAGGAGTGGGCCTCCTGCTCAGGGCTGGGAGCCTGCGGCCACTGGGGTGAGGGCACCGGGCACATCTTAACACTCCCATCGGAATGGCTCCTTCACAGTTCAGGCACAGCCTTGGTTGTCACAGGTCAACATTCACACAAGCGCCAAAGGCAAGACCCTTCCACTTGGCACCTGTCCTGAAAGGGAGAGGCCCACCGGAGGAGGAGGAAGAGAGGAAGAGGAGGAGAGGAATTCCTTGAAAATTCAGAAGCCAATCTTGAAAGAGACCCAGAGCAGACAAGCCAAGACTCTTTGCTAGAAATCACCCTGAATAAATAAGACATAGCAGCGTCAAGGGGAAGCGCCTGCCTGTGATTTTAGAGCAAATGCAGCGTCAGCTCATCGTAGTGTCTACACGGTTCCCCTAGGCTTTGTGCCCGCCGCAGAGCCCTGAGCTCACCTCTGACCTAGGAACCGAGGGTCTCTCTGGATCCGTGAGAGGCGGGAGCTGGGCCACGAGGCAGGAAAGGAAGCACTACCCATCGCCGGTACCTAGGTACTAGCAGTGAGACACCCCGGCTCCATCTCGGGGAGGAGCTGACCCGGCACTTCAGCAGGCAGGAAGCCCGCAGGTCTAGCGGAGGTGACCCCTGCCTTCCACTCTAGGCAGCCGCAGGGTGGAGGTGCCCAGAACGGCAGCTCACAGCCTCTGCTCAGGCCTGGCCACCTGTCCCAGGTCCAGAGTGAAAGCCTGAAGCCTGCCAACGTACCCACGGGCGAGTGCTTCTCTTTTTGTTCCCTATTCTGGAAAGGCTGGTGAATGGCTGGCTGGCCTTGGTCCCCCGTCCCCCAGCAGTCCGCCCTTCATTGTCCCTTAAGCCCAGGAGGATGCCACCACCCAAGTCACTTGAAAAAGCACAGCAGAGGAGCTAAGGAGGACCAGCCTGTCCTCATACCACAGTGGGGAAGCAAGGTTGCTGCCTGACTAGCCTCTTCCACATCTGGAACAGATGTGTCCCGTCAGCAATGGAGGATACAACAGTCAAAGAGAACCAGAGCGAGGCCAGATCAAGTCCCAATCTGGAAAGCTGCACTCTTCACTGACATTCCCATTAATGCCCCCAAACAAAGCCACTCCTCCCTGCTGACGGGCTGGGCCAGCTTGTTGGCAGCACAGAGACAGGTGAGTACCAAGGAGCTTCCCGCACCAGAAACTACTTGCTCATCCCCGTTTGGAATCCCAGAAACTTCTGCTTTGGCCCAAACATCACTACCTCAGCAGACTATGAAGCCTCGACTCTGTCCTAAGCCACCCACAGGCTGCGTCCTCTTGTCTCTGGCCAGGCTGAGGGCCTGTTCTGAAGGCAGAGGCTACCTGAGGGCCAGTCTCAGTTCCCGTCTTGTTTAAACATTGGCAGCTTTACCAAGTGGCTGGAGCCGGGTGTTAAAAATTTATAAAAAAGGTTATTTTTCCTATTAAAAACGCGTGTCCTGGACCGGCCACTTCTTGGGCCGTCCAGGGTTTCGGTCTCCTCGGCTAGATGCCTGGCGTCGCCGCCTCCAGGGCAGGGTTTGTTCTGCGGGCGGTGGCAGGCCCTGGCCAAGCGGCTGAAAGGAGCTTCTATGGCGGGGCTGGGCCTGGGTCTTCAGAGCTGCAGGTGAGGCTGTCGGTGCTGGGCCGGGAGCCTGTGCTCCCCCTTCTATGTTTCCGCAGCACAGTGTGGCTCCTCAGTGGCTCAGCTTGGCAGAAGCAAACATGGGGGAGGAAAGAGTTAACCAAGGGCCCTGCGCAAGGTGGGGGAAACGGAGAGGACACAGAGGGCAGAACAGAGGTCCCTGCCTCCCCTGAGCCTCTGCAGCCTACAGCCCATGCTACTCCCGGCCCATCTACTCAGGAAGGCACAAGGAAAGGCCGGCAGCTGAGGGGTCGGCCCTGGCGGGCAGCTGAGGCGCTGCCCGACTTGGGGCTCTGCCGCTGTACTATGCTGTCTGCGCCAGGGCCTCGGGGCCCACTGCTTCTGTCTCCTGCCGTCTACACCCCTCTCCTCACACCAGGACACGTGGATTTCCTCTGAGACTCGGCTCCAGGGGGCTAGCTGCTGGGCGGCGAGGGATGCCTGGACCATGGCTGTCTCAGGTCCCCACCACCAGAGGAAGCACGAGAGCACTCCAGAAGCCACACGGGCGGCCCAGTCTCTGCCCTGTCCGAGGGCGGCTCCGCTCTGAGAAGGAAGGCGGCGCGCACACCTCAGTGAGCTGGACTCCAGAACCAGGCCCACAGGAAGGGGCCACGCACACACAGGACCCTCAGGAGCAGGGTCACAGCTCCTGCTATCAGGGCCGACATGTGCTCAGGGGTATAGCTGGTACCAAGCTCTGCCCTTACAGAAAGTCTGTCCCTGGTGAAGCCAGATCACTGGATCTGACCAGGAAAGAAACCAGCCCCGGAGAGCAGCTGTGCACAGGGCATCCTGGCACGGGGCGATCACAGTGGTGGTTGGGTCAGGACAGGAGAGGAGAGCAACCTCGGAGGGAGCTGCCGCTGGAGGTACCCGCCCCTGCCCTCACAGTGCCTGGTACAGAGGCTCTGGGAGCCTCAGAGTCCCTCTGGTGCCTATGAGGCCCCCTTCAAAGGCAAGCCCTCACCCCCGGCTGTCCTCAGCCGAAGGGGAGGGTTCACAGTGTTGGGTGGTAAAGCAGGAGCTGCTGCCAGGAGGCGGGTCCCATGGAGGTGGGGCCTTGGCGGCTGCAGCCGGGAGGAGAGTTGAGACAGCAGAGCGCTCGCTCGAGTGGCAAAGGCACAGTGGGGGTAGTGGAGGCGGGGTGGCTGTTTAGAAGATAGTGGTCTCATACTTGGTGCTGAGGCTCCGTTTGGAGTCTGGCTTTGGGTCCACAATCCAGGAAACACTGGCGTGGGATGGGGCCTCCAGGTCCGTATCCGGTGGTTCCAGCTGCTGAACAAGGAGACAGGGTTAGGAGTCAAAGCAGGCCCTTCGCCAGGGCCTAGCGTACCTGCCCCTCCACGAAGCACCTGAGACACCTCCAGAACAGTTCTCAGCAGTTCCTTGGGGACTATTCAGCTAAACGAACCCTGCCCCACTAGAGCTTCCGCTCTAAGCCTCAGTATGCCCATGGTAGGCAGGAAGGAGGTAAATGGTCAGCAGCCCAGCCCTTGGGTCTCAGCCTGGGGCAAAATGACAGCACTTGTCCCAGACCTTTGCAGAGGACACATGACAAAGACAAAGGGCAGAGCACAGAGGGAGGGTCTGAAAGGAAGAAGAGTGTCACACAGGCAGAGCATGAGGCGGCTCAGGGGCTTCAGGGAGCCTGACATAAGGCAGCGGGAGGCAGAAGACCTTGACTCCAGGACTAACAGACGGCAGCGGTAGGTAGGAAGGGCGGTGGGTGGTGCGGGCGTGACAGTGACAACAGCGAGTGTCGGGGGGCAGCGGCACCTGGGCGCAGAGCAGACAGACACGGGGGCGTCACTGGGCGCTTGCTGCAGCCATGCACAGCAGCCCCACCGTGACCTCACCCTGGGCTGGGCCTGACAGAGGAGAGGGGGCTAGAGGAGGCGAGCTGCTTTCCTGGGGCAGTTGCCAAGGAGGGGAAGACGCTGGATGTGCCCAGCTCCACCCCAGCCCCGGGGTGCCTTGTAGACGAGAGGCCACGTACCGTGGACTTCCTCGTGCCGACCCGAGGCTTAGGCACCGGTTTGGAAGCTTTTGTGTCAATCATGGAGGCTGCAGAGGCCGCCATGGTTCTGGATTTCTGGGCCTGGAGGGCCAGCTGGTAGGCCACCTCGAACGCCTGCCCCAGGGTCAGGATGATCTCGTAGGTCAGGTTCTGGGAAGAAGCAGAGTGCCCGCTAGCAGTGCGGCTGTCTGCAGACCCGCCTCCTCACTGGGGGCAGGAACCTTGCAGCATGGTGAGCTGACACCACGGGAGCCCCGGCTGAGGAGCGGGCTGCTTAACCCCACGCCATCTTCAGTGAAGCCCCGGATGGGGAAAGGAGAGGCCGGTCCAGGGCTGCGAGGCCCTCCTGCAGGCTGGGAAGGAGCAAGGAGAGCAGGCCAGAGTCCATGGACCACAGCAGCTTGGGGAGCCGGGACGGGGCGGTGGTTAGCGGGCAGCAAGGGGACCTGTCCACCCGGGAAACCCGGCGTGGGTGATGCCCCAGCCTAGGGCGCTTCCCCGGGCTGCTGCCTCCGGCTGTGAGGACTGCCCCGGACGCCGCCCGCTCGGGCACACTCACCACATCCACGGTGCTGAAGACGTGGCAGTAGTGGTGGCTGGTCTGCAGGTCCTTGGTGATGTAGGCAAAGGTGCACAGGTCCTCCGGGTCCTGCGCGGCGCAGGAGATGTTCCGGATCTCATGCTCAGCAATGACGTTCTGCCAGGAAGAACGCTAGTTCTAGAGCCCGGTTCCCTCAGGCATGCTTCTAGGGTTGCCGCCCTGGCGTCTCACCAGCCCGCAGCTCCAGATCAAGCCCACTTTTTCCCTCAGAAGGACTGAGACTGTGTCTGAGCCTGCTCATTCAGGCAAACGCATGCTTTGCCTACCCCCCAGGGGGGCAGGAGGTGGCTCTCGGGTGGACCCTAGACTAGCTCACTGAAGACACCACTAAGGCCAGTGCCAAGGAAGAGCAGAGCGGCTGTCACTACAGTTGGGGCAACAGTTGGATTCCAGGACGAGGACCCGTGAGCAGGTGAGGTGCTGGGACTGGTGAACGGGAAGGCGGAGTCCCAGGAAGCTGGCAGTGAGGTGGGCTCCACCCACTGCTGCCCTTTGGACAGGAAGTGCTGCAGAGACTCATGTACCGGATGCTCGTGCCCAGCTTGTGCTGATACTTGGGAAGGTGCTGGGAACTTTGGGTGGTGGGCACAGGCCGAGGAAGTGGTTCACACTGGATCCTGGCCCTTCTGCACTGTTTCCTGTCCACCACAAGCACGCCGCCTCTGACGTGCGCTCCCGCCTCTGTGACTTAGGCACAAAGTAAGAGGACTAAACATCGACGCTTCTGAGACTGTAACCCCCCCCCCCCCCCCCCCCCCCCCCCCCCCGCCAAAAAAAAAAAAAAGAGAACCACCCCCCGCCGCGCCTCCGCCGCCCCCCCCCCCCCCCCCCCTTGCTTGGTCTCAGCAATGAAAAAGTAGCACGGAAGTGCAACCCTGCGGTGATCAGCCTGACCGGCCACGTGGTTCTCACACCTCTGCAAAGATGTCTGTGGAGGAACTTGGAGATGTGGGATAGAGAAAGATAAGGATGCTACCAGCAGAGCTTGATGGGAAATTCTGGAGAGATGGTGCTTAGGAGGGTCTGATGGGAAGGTGGTGTTTACTGGGGACCGGGCCATTCAGGTGACACTGTGACAAAGAACTTGACTACACCCCATCCCTGCCACTAGGCTGAGGGTACAGATGACAGGCTGATGAACCCAGGCGGAGGAGGCTGCGAGGATGCCCAGCAGGTAGGAAGGAGGAAGGCTATAGCTGTTTCAGTCTAGTTAACAGGGACAGTTGGGAACAATAACTGAGGCAGAAGATGTGAAGAACGTGCAGTTTGGTCAGAAAAACCTGACGAAGCTGGGCGAAGGATGACATGGTTTCTGAAGACAGTAGTGGCATTAGAAAGGAGTCAAATGCTACGTACTAGAATAATAGAAAAAATGACTTTGGAGACAGTTCAGGCATTGGGCAGACCCCAACCACGGCAACCTCAAGAATATGGAAGAGTAATCTATTCGGAAGAGTAATCTATTCGGGTAGCCTCTTCCTCAAAAAAAAAAAAAAAAAAACAAAACAGCCTCCAGAGTGCTCTGCCTTATATGTCACCGAGGAAGGTGTCTCCCCAGAACTCATTTGACCATGCTCAGCCATCCAAGTACTCATGCTTTCCACGCCATGGTCCAAGAGGACCACTCTTTTAGTAGACGGCACACCTTGGCACCACCTATGTGAGGCCAGTTTTGCTGGCATGAAGAATGTAAAGATCCAGGGCCTTGGAGGCCTGCATTCCAGCTAATGCAAGGCCTGGGGCCGAGCAGCGTGCTGTATCAGGAGCTCCGGAAAGTCTTCCAGAGGAAAATGAAAGGCCATGAAGTTCAAGCAATGGAGGCTCAGGAACCTGGGGCCACAGGCACTGTGGGTGTTTCCCAAGTAAGGCTGGGAGCAGTGGCCAGAGTCGGCTAGGACAAGGAGCTGGGACAAGGCGGCTTCCCAAGCCCGCTGGGGCTCACAGTGCCGCCCATGGACCCAGATGCCTGACGTGCTGCGGACACTGCTTACCTCGCTGGGCTCTGGTTCACTTTACTTTGGTCTCATCTTTCCAGGCTATTTTGATTTCTCCTTTTAGAGTGAAAATATTTATTCTGTGTCTTTATTATCTCAGGCGCTGTAACTGAGTTTCTGATTTTTATTAATATTAAAAAAAATGATGTGTATGGGAGTTTAGCCTGTATGTATGTCTGTGGACCATCTGAGTGCCTGGCGCCTGCCGAGGCCAGGACCGGCAGATTTCCCTGGCACCGGAGTTACAGACGGGTGTTGTGCCACCATGTGGATGCTAAAATCGACCCTGGATCCTCTGGGGGAAGAGCCAGTGCTCTTACTCACTCTTCAGCCCTGATTTCTAATTTCTTTGAAATGTTTTCACTTATTTTTATTTCATTGGTGTTTTGCCTGCATGTGTATCTGTGTGAGGGTGTTGGATCCACTGGAGCTATAGATAGGTGGAGTTATAGATAGGTGCAAGCTGCCGTGTGGTTGCTGGGAATTGAACCTGGGTCCTCTGGAAGAGCAGCCAGTGCTCTTAACTGCTGAGCCATCTCTCAGCCTGATTTCTGATTTTTACAGGGCTCACAGTTAACCGTTTGCTTTGAAGCTGGGCATGGTGGCTTTTAATCCCAGCACCTGGGAGGCAGGGGCAGGCAGATCTCTGTGCGTTTGAAGGCGGCCTGGTCTATATAGTGAGTTCTTGGCCAACCAGGGCTACACAGTGAGACCCTGTCTAAAACAAAACAAAGCAAAGCAAAGCAAAGCAAAGCAAAGCAAAGCAAAGCAAAGCAAA